TCAAGGTAAGAGTCAAGACACCCAGAGGCACGGATAGAGCTCATGAGTTAATCTGTTATGGGTTGGATGAAATTGCAAATGTTCACAGAGTAATCAAAGCACAGCAACTCAAGAAGTTCTTCCCTGAGACCAACCTGGAAGATCTTCGCAGACCGGAACATGTTGAGCTTCTCATAAGCCACCGTGAAGGAAGACTTGCTCCACAGAGAATAAAAGTAGTAGGAGATCTCGTCCTGTGGGAAGGCCCCTTAGGAAAAACTGTTGGCGGAGCACATCCAGACCTCTGTGAAGTAGTGGGTATGGCCCTGCACAATTTTGAGACTCACTTTGCACGGTCAATGAGGGTCACAGCAGTGAAGTACCAGGAAATTGCCAAGATGCAAGAATCCAGAGCTCAAACCAAAGCCACTGTTATTGGCAGGGAATTCTTGGACTGGTGGAAGTGGGACAGCATTGGTGCGGCTTGCGAACCCATGTGTGGAGGATGCCGGTGTGGTAACTGTCAGCCAGGAGGCAAAGACATGACTCTGAGTGAAGAAAGAGAGCTTGAGATGATCAGGCAGGGCCCCAGCTATGTGAAGTCAGATGCGCATAGTCGGGAGCCTCACTGGGATGCAAAATACCCGTGGATTGAAGATCCAAGTTCCCTGCCCAACAACAGAAGCGCAGTGGAAGCCACGTTTCTGAGGACGGAGAAACGGCTCAAGAAAGAACCAGAGTGGCGTACAGCATACTCAACTCAAGTCCATGAGATGGTGGAAAGGAGGGCAGCGAAGAAACTCACTAGAGAGACCATTGCTGACTGGAAAGGACCAGTATGGTATGTCAGTCACTTGGTGGCGCCAAACCCGAACTCTGTAACGACACCTGTCCGACTGGTATGGAACAGCAGCCAAAAGTTTAGAGGAATCAGCATGAATGACCTTCTCCTGAAAGGGCCTGATGTGCTTAATCCCATTCGAGCAGTGCTACTAAGGTTCAGGAGAGGAGTCCATGCTGCCCTCGGCGACATCAAAAAGATGTACAATTCTGTGTGGCTCGAAAACCTGGAGATGCACCTCCATAGATTTCTCTGGAGAAACAGCGAAGATGAAGAAATTGAGGAATTTGCCATCACCAGGGTCAACATGGGCGATCGACCGGCAGGGTGCATCGCACAACTGGCCATGAGAGAGACAGCAAGGCTGCCCATGTTCACTCACCTGGAAGAGGAACGGAGAGTCCTTGAGGATTCCTATGTAGATGACATTCTGACATCCCACAATGACCTGGAAAAGCTAGACAGAATCACCAAAAAGGTCGAAGAAATTCTGAAGGCAGGTGGATTCTTCCTAAAGCCATGGGTCCGATCAGGCCAAAGTGGGAGGCAGACGTCCACATCAGAACGTCCAGCATCGTTCGAGGAAGTCTTCATTCTCCCCAACCAAATGAGGGAAGGGAACAAAGCCCTGGGAGTTGGTTACCTGGTCGAACCAGACAAACTATACCTCACGACCTCGATAAACTTCTCAAAGAGAAAAAAGAAGATGAGAATCGGTCAAAATCTCGTCGAGGAAGAGGTGAGGAGAAAAACTCCAAACCCATTGACTAGAAGACAACTGCTTAGCCAAGTAGCTAGTTTATATGATCCAATAGGCCTTGCAACACCTGCCAAACAGAAAGGAGCCATTCTGGTCAGGAAAGCATTTCAAGAAACGGGAGGCAAGAATCTTCTACGAGACACATGGGACACACCGCTGTCTGAAAGACTCAGGGAAGAAGCCATCCACCTGTTTGAGGAATACACACGCCTCAACCAAATTACCTTCCATAGAAGCCTCACACCAGTCAGAAGGATTGGAGAACCCTGGGGAATAACATTCTCAGATGGTAGCGACCAGAGCTATGGAGCTGTTGCATACTTCAGGTGGGAGACCAAGCAAGGCATTCTGGTCCGGCTCATTGAGTCCAAAGCCAAGCTCACACCACTTGACCAAAAGGGAGAAGCAGTGAAGGCTGAGGTCTGTGGTGCTGTATTTGCGGCAAGACTGAGAAAATACATTGAAAAGCACAGTCGGATACAAGTCAAACGGTGGCTCCATCTGCTGGACAGTCAAACTGTGCTGGGTGCCATCCAAAGGGACAGTTATGGGTACCAAACCTTTTTTGCGAACAGAGTGGGAGAGATCCAGAAGTCCACATCAGTTGGAGATTGGAGATGGATTCCAGGTGAACAAAACATTGCTGACCTTGTTACAAGAGGAGCAACGCCAGAAGACCTCAAAGAAAACTCTGTGTGGCAGAATGGCCCAGAGTTTCTGAAACAACCTGTGGAAGAGTGGCCGACAAAGTCAGCCAAAGACGTCGCTGCGGATGCTAAAGAAGGTATAAACCGGCTCCAAAGGAAATGTTTTACAGCAACACTGACCCGAGCGCAGTTGGAAAAAAAACGACATGCTCCACCTGCCACTGCAATGCCCCCACCGTCAAACCAAAACAAGGACGACTTGCAAATCCAAATCCAAGTCCGGAGGCCACCTTCTGGTTCTTCAGTGAGGAAATTACTTAACATCAGTAAGTTCAGCTGTTTAACCAGGTTGATAAGAGTCATTGCCTGGGTGTGGAGAGCTGCCACAAAGTGGAAAGAAATGCTGGCCAAGACCCCAACCAGAAGCAAGCCAAAGAGGAAGGAGATTCTTTCAACTCTTGAGATCAAGTCCAGAGTCAAGGAAGCTACACTTACCGTCATGGAGTGTGAGGATGCGCTCAGGGATCTCTTCCTTGCAGCTCAAATGGAGGTAGTCTTGCCAGACGCCACACTCAGCAGGCTTGCCGTGGTCAGGGAGGAAAACACTGGACTATTGCTCTGTGGAGGAAGATTCCAAATCTTTAATAAAGAAAAAACTGCAGTACCAGTCTTGCCCTGCACATCATGGGTATCCACTCTTCTGGCTCAAGAAGCCCACAAGGCAAACCATGAAGAAATTGCAGGCACACTCCTCCGGATGAGAAGGAAAGCATGGGTGGTGAGAGGCCGGAAACTAGCTCAGAAGATCGTTGATAACTGTGTGATATGCAGGAGACTTAAGGCCCGAAGGTGCCAACAGATCATGAGTGACCTTCCATCGGAGCGAATAACACCAGCCAATCCATTTGAGTACACAACGGTGGACTTATTTGGACCATATGAAGTGAAGGATGAGGTAAGAAAGAAAGTGAAACTCAAGGTGTGGGGAATCGTCTTCTGTTGCATGGCGTCCAGAGCTATGCACACAGACCTAGTCAGTGACCAGTCGGCTGAAGGCTTCCTGCTAGCCTACCAAAGATTTACGGCACTGAGAGGACACCCAAGGAAATTGTGGTCGGATCCTGGGAAGAACTTTGTCGGAGCCAAACCTGCCCTCAAAGAGCTCCACATGTTTCTGGACCGACTGGAAAAATCAGAGCTTGGAAATGACTGTTCCAAGCATGGCACAGAGTGGAGCTGGAAGATCCATCCAGCAGACTCACCTCACAGAAACGGAGCTGCTGAGGCTGCTGTCCGGACTGTGAAGCGGGCTTTGCACAATCTGGGGGGTAATGGAGTCTTCACATGGGGTGAGTTTCAAACTTTCCTCTATATGGCTTCCAACCTTGCCAATGAACGACCTATCGATGCCAGGACTCAGAGCCGAGAGGACTGTATTGAATACATTAGCCCAAATGCACTTCTGCTTGGAAGAACTGGACCCAGAGGGGATCCAGGGACCTTTGACTTTGAAGGCTACTCTTACAGCAGGTTAAGAACCATCCAAACAGAAGTTGACAGGTTCTGGAGGAAATGGAGCCAGTTAGCCGGACCAAACTTGTTTGTCCGGACTAAGTGGCACACAGCTCACAGGAATGTGGCAATTGGAGATGTCGTCTGGCTGGCCGACCAGAATGCCTTGAGGGGTCAGTTCAGGCTTGCCAGGGTCATTGACGTCAGCACTGACAGGAAGGGAATTGTGAGGGATGTATATCTCCGATCCTTTCCCAGCTACCCAGTCGCAACTGTGAAACTCATTAAAAAGGAAAAAAAACGCTCGAGCAAGATACCTGCAACAATTCTTCACAGGGATGTCCGGCGGATAGTTGTCCTACTCCCAGTTGAAGAGCAGCAGTAGCAACAGGATCAAAAATGGAGTAATTAAATCTGACACCACATAGGTACTGGTGTGACCTCCTTGGGTTGAGGAACCAGGAGGTCAAGTGGGAGGTGTTGCGTCAATCTCCGGTCACAAGCCGCACAGAGAACTCAAGGCCCATATCCACCCCGGACAGTCGGAGCGCACCCAGACTGCAGGGGGCGACGATGCGGCTAATGGAGATTCCACTCACAGGAAGTGCCTGCGTACGAACAGGAAATGCATGGCATAAAATGTTTGTGGAGAGCTCGGATAGCCCTCTCACTCGGCCCTGAGGAAAAGGACACTGTGGCCACGGCTCCTAATCTCCCAGAGACGCAACTGGTAGGACAGTATGATTTATTGTTTGTTCATGCTTTGCTTTACTTGGTGAAATGTGTCATTTAAATTAAGTAATGGGGACTTATCCTAGGTTTATCTGAATAATTTGGGTTTGGTTTGGGAATTCAGTCGCATTTATTTATTATTACTTTAAGAAAGTTATTATCGAAATGTACGACTAATTCATGGGTTTTGCTTTGTTTGAAAGGTTATCAACCTGCTCTGTTCTTTGTCTGATCCACCAAACCACCCTTAAGAGGAATAAAGGATCATAAAATAAACAGTTCTCGAGTTGTCCTTTGTGTCCACCGGAGAGAAAGCTCTTTTCAAGTTTGGGCAGAGCCGTGATTAATCAGAAAAAACACACGAAACTTGACAATCCTTATCACTGTATTAATACAGTACCATGGTGTCCTCAACAGTAATACTTGTATACTATTAGTACAATAGCACGCAGCGCGCTGGCGCTCACTCTGCTGATGTTGTCTGCCTGGTAACAGGTGATGACGTCGCTGACGTGGGGTCACGTGACCTCCGCTCCGCTTTTTACAGCCGCTCTCAGCGCGTCTTTGTCACTTTGTCCGGTGAACACAGAGACATGGCTCCATCCTTCATCAGCGTCTCCCTCCTCTTCATCGGCCTCCACGCAGCAGGTAGGATCAATACTCATCAACACTGATCAATAAAGTGATCAATGCACCGCCTGTTTGTTTATAGACTGATCAGTAATCAATAACAGTGATCACTGATCCCATCCGTTCTTCAGATGGATTCCTGGAGTTTATGACGGATGAATGTGTCTTTAACTCCACGGAGCTGAAGGACATCGAGTACATCAGGTCTTATTATTACAACAAGTTAGAACTCACGAGGTTCAGCAGCTCAGTGGGGAAGTACGTCGGCTTCACTGAGTACGGAGTGAGGAACGCTGCTAACTGGAACAAAGACGCTTCAGAACTGATTGCTATGAGAGCTCAGAAGGAGGTTTACTGTCTGAACAGCATCCAGATCAAATATAACAATGTGCTGACTAAGTCCGGTGAGTCAGAGCGACATGATTATTATCATCGTTATTATTATCACATTATGATAAATGTATAATAACACATAAATTGGGGTCGTCGTGGCGCAGGTGTTAGAGAAGGTGTGCTAGGAAGCACAAGGTTGTTGGTTCGATTCCAGGCTGCCCCATGTCCCATGTCGAAGTCTCCCTGAGCAAGACACCTGACCCCTAATTGCTCCCCGGGCAAAATGTGAAAAAGCCATGTGTGTAATGTGAGTCGCTTTGTATAAAAGCGTCTGCTGAATGACCTGTGATGTAATGATCAAATAACGTGAACTAAACGTTGACGTCAGACTGAAGTCTTTCTCCACCTTGTGGTGAAGTTGTGCTACTACAGCTCCGACTAATATTACTACTTATTCATGTGCTCATCACTCATCACCTCATCGGACCCGAGAATCACTTCTTCATCTTCTCATGAACATTTTATATCAAATCAATCCATTAAATCGATCCAATCAGGAATATTACAAAGTCATTTAGTAAAATGACTTAAATAAATAAAGTCTGCTGTATTTAACTTCAAATCTGAGCTTCAACTTTGTAAAATAGTTTATAATAGTTTCTAATAGTTAATATAATCAAATCAAAGAGAAAATCACCCGGTAGTTTATTCTAAAGTAATGATCATTTATTAGTAAATCCAACTAGAACCTGATACACATCTTCTGTAATAAATGATTCACGTTGTTATACATATTTTATATAGTTTACTCGTGTGGTTTAATATGTAACACATTTATAAATAATATAATGATGTTGTTTTACAAATCATATAATATAATTATATGATCAAATATTAAACAGAAGAAACACTTTGAATTCAAGTATCAAGTATTTATGGACACTTTATGGATATTATTGAGTAGAACATTAATGTTCTAGTACCTCTTTTATATTACCAACAAAACCTTTTACAGTTTGTGAGAAGCTTTTATACTCAATGGGAACCTTGTAGAACCTGTAGAACCTTTTAGAACCTGTAGAACCTTTTAGAACCTGTAGAACCTTTAGAACCTGTAGAATCTTGTAGAACTTGTAGAGCCTTTAAGAACCTGTAGAACCTTGTAGCACCTTGTAGCACCTTTTAGAACCTGTAGAACCTTGTAGAACCTTTTAGAAGCTGTAGAAGCTGTACTGCAGCTGGTACTACTGCTACTACCTTAAGTACTCCTAGTACTAATACTCGTACCTGTGAGCTCACAGAACAAACCCTCACCATGTCATATATTGTCTCCAGCTGAGCCCTACGTCAGGCTGCACTCTGAGACGCCCCCTGGTGGTGGACCTTTGTCCATGTTGGTCTGCAGCGTCTATGACTTCTACCCCAAGAAGATCATAGTGAGGTGGACCAGAGACGGACGGCCAGAGACCACCGGGGTCACTTCTACCGACGAGCTGGCAGACGGGGATTGGTACTACCAGACCCACTCCCACCTGGAGTACACGCCCAGGTGAGTCCACCTCCACCTCCAGGTGGTGCAGGTCCAGCCAGCTTCAGCTCCGATAAGTCCAGTTAGCTCAGGTCCAGGTCGAGGTGGTCCAGGTTGATGAGGACATCCACTGATGTGCTGGTTTGTGTGTCAGCAGGTCTGGAGAGAAGATCTCGTGTGTGGTGGAGCACATCAGTCTGAGTAAACCTCTGGTTACCGACTGGAGTAAGTACCTGTCTGTCTGCATACCGGTCTGCCTGCCTCTCCACCTGTCTCTCTGCTAACCCGTCCCCCTGTCTGTCCTCAGACCCGTCCATGCCCGAGTCTGAGAGGAACAAAGTCGCCATCGGAGCCTCAGGACTGATCCTGGGTCTGACTTTGTCTCTGGCTGGATTCATCTACTACAAGAGGAAAGCCAGAGGTCAGAACACACCGATGTCCTCTGATGGGTCAGATCGGTCCAGAATAAGAGGAGACCTTCAGCAGGTCCACCAGAGTCTGGACCTGGTTCACCTGCTCCCTCTGACACCTGTCTGGTGTTTCAGACCAGTTCAGTCTGGTTTCAATGGTCCGGTATCTGCATTTAATGCTCATCTGTTCTTCTCTTTAAACCAGGACGGATCCTGGTTCCCAGTCACTGAACCCGGTCCTGGTCTTGGTTCTGGTCCTGCTGCTCGTCAGATGGAAGGAAAAGCCGGACTGGATCAGATGTGGATGGGTGCTGGATCAGTACAAGTACTTCTACTGGAACAGCTGTTAGAATTAGTACAAATCTACTTATGTTAAATAAGTATTTTTTCTATTTAGTAGAAGTACTTAGTAGGTGTTGTGTTTTCTGTGGAGTTTTTAATTCATGACGTTTTGTTATTTCGGATTTACACGTGTGATCAAATGTTTACCTGCCAGAGCCATACGTATAAATGGCAGTATTATATGGAGAAACGTTGAGGTAGCAGCGCAATCGTGTAGTGTCCCTTTAAGAGAGGAGTGTGCTGTGAGGTCACGTGACCAGTGTTTACTGAGTGAAAAGGAAGCGCGATTCACTTCGTTGGTAACGACTTCCAACCCGGTGTGGAGCCACTTGGGAAGCTCTCTTAATTTCCAATGTTGTCTTGTCTCCTTTATAATGTACGCTTCATGTTGTCTGATGTCACCTTAATGTGTTGCTGCTGTGTTTACTTTCTTTGGCTTATATGTTTAAAGTATGAAACACGGACTGGTATGTGACGTAGGTACTTCTTGGTCTGCCGTGGGGCATTTTGGGAGTTGTAGTTTGCCGCTAAGGAAAGACTGCATGCATTGTGAATGTGGTGCATAATGTTTGAATGTGTACATGCAAATAACGAAACTGATGATGGTGGATTATAGTATATTAATAATGTTTATTTGTATTTTTGAATAATGTTATTAAGATAAAGAACTGGGGAGCTGTGTTGGTTGTGGTGTGCACATGGAAATTGAAGCATTGCATTTCTTATTATTCCAGGTTTTTTACCTGGTTCCCTTTTTAAGAAATAAACAAACAAATGAGGAATCTTGAGTAAAGTCCTATGTGTGCCGGGTTGCCCTTTCCGTGGGGAGAAAACGGTACAGTAGGGGTGTAACGATTCATTTTAACAACGATTCGATTCAGTAACTTTACTGGACAGTGCAGGCAAAGTTTCTGAGATCCCTGTTGTTTCTTGTTAGGAAATCAGGTTTAAATTAATTATGGATATTATAAACAATTGATGGCAAATGTATGAACCTTTTATTTGAGTCAAGTGCCATTTTCAATGTAAACATTACACAATAATTACACAATGTTTGGATCAATTCACAGACACCACATTGTCGGGTCGCATGTTCTTACAGATGAACTTGTTACTGTGATGAGTTTGGTACTGGAGGCCTGAGGCGTCTGCAGAGCTGAGTTACCTGCTGCTGCTGCAGCGGTGACGCTGCTGGAGGTCCTGACTGTCGCCGTTGTTTAATCCCACGGCGCCTTAGTAGACGGCCGCAAAGATTCCTCGTGTTTCCGTGTTTTTTATTTGTCTTCTACATTTTCTACAAACAGACCGACTTATTTAGAACACCTCCGTGTTTGCAAAAGCCCAAAATGTTTCCACTGGATCGATACGTTGGTTTGTAAATGTCTCCCTCGCAGACGTCTCCTCCACGCCGTGTGTTGTTGTTGGTCAGAATTTCGCGCAGCGGCCGCTGCGTACTGATGACGTCACAGACAGGCAGACTGAATCCAGTAACGTTTAATGTGTCTAAAGAGCTAACAAACAAACAAACAAACACGCATCCACACCTTTTCTGTACTTAAATCCAATGTGCAGTTTCCAAGTATCGATACAATCGATTATGTACCATTTCAATCGATTTGTAATCGATATATGTCGCCCGGAATGACGGTTTGCGGAGCACAGATCGATTCTGTTGGATCGCAGGAATATAAATCGATGAATCGATACATGAACATGAACAAATACAGAATCCCTTTGTGTTCCTTTCTAAAGCGTCGCATTAAGACACACGTCACTTCATTTAAGACGCTGCGCTACTTGCAGGTCGCTGTGTTGTGCCTGATTCTCCATTCACGTTAGAAAACAATGATTTACGGCGAAACGCGTGCCCGTGAGGATACTCGTTTACCATGTCATTTGCATGAGGAGGAGGAACCGACCACCGACCAATGCAACCTGCCGACCACCGACCAATGCAACCTGCCCGACCACCGACCAATGCAACCTGCCGATGAACCGACCAATGCAACCTGCCGATGAACCGACCAATGCAACCTCGCCGATGAACCCGACTCAATTGCAACCTCGCCGAATGAACCGACCAATGTCCACCTGCCTGACCACCCGACCCAATGCAACCTGCCGATGAACCGACCAATGGCAACCTGCCGATGAACCGACCAATGCAACCTACCGAACAATGCAACCTGCCGACCACGGACCAGTGCAACCTGCCGACCACCGACCAATGCAACCTGCCGACCACCGACCAATGCAACCTGCCGATGAACCGACCAATGCAACCTGCCG